CAACAGTGAAACTAAAACATTTTGTTGAAGAAAAATTGGCGAGTTGAGGTCGGGTTTGCGTCCCAATGTCGACAACAATTTATGAGAGTGGACACGATAATGAGCATAGAAGACTGAGGATTACTTCAGTAAGGAAGAAAAAAAGCTCAAAAAAAAAAAAATCCCAGGGGCTGACAGAGAAAGAGACAGGCCATGGGGGCTCACAAGCTAGGGGGACCAAGGCATCTCTAGGACCATAACTCTAAAGAGCAAGGATGGTGGTTACATTAGCTGCTGTGACGGCCGAGGGAAGCCTTAATGGAGCCCTTTCTAACTTGTTTCTGTCAATGCCTACATCTCTCTACTGGCGGCAAATATTTGTTACATAGGGTTTCCATCCCATTTTGCTTAGTGCATACATGATAATAAGAAACAGTAGTACGCATGCTTGCAAGGAGCTGCAGGATGGACCCAGTCTTGCCTGCATTAAGTCCCAGGCTCCTTCAGTTTGTGTTCTTATCATCAAGTCTCTATACGTATGTCCTGCTAGAATCACAGCTTCAAAAACAGGTTGGAACACTACCTTTTGGGAAGACACAAGCTTGTGTTCTTATTTTCTCATGTCTACATTTTATATACGGTTCTGCGTTTGAGCAAGACTGACCATCAACAGTGACAAGATTCAGAGGTGGCATGTGTGGCTCTGCACAACAGCTAGCAAGTTCTGAGCTCAGACAATGTGACCACGCTGCCCTGCATGCTCAGTGTGAATCTGAACACCTGTAATCCTCACAACCAAACGACCAGGTGGCTCATCTCTGGCAACTGAGCCTTTGTAAGTCTCGCTTCCACTTCAAGAGGCAAAAAACCATGCTTGGAAGGTTATACAATTTGTTCAATTTCGCTCACCTAGTGAAAGGGAGAGCCGGGACTTGACCCACACACTGCCCGCCCCTGCAACCCATCACTGCCTTTTGGTATCCCCAGAGAATTTAACCAGACAGAGGCAGAAGCAGAGGCTCCCAGTAGAGTACTCAGATTCATACTCTGAGTTTCTTCTAGCATTTAAATGCACCAATGATAACAAATAAGAAACACATGAATTCTTTTCCAGCTTACAGCCCTGATCTTTGAAGTTTTGCACATAGGTGGCATAAACTTTTCTGAAAGGCAATCCAAAGCTTGTGACAATGGCTTCTAAAAGAAGGGTTCTGATGCTTAATCACCTTGAAGACATAGCTGTCTTTTAGACAAATGTATGACTAAAGAGAAAAAAAAAAGAGAGAGATAAGTTTCAAGTTATATGGATGCAACAGAATTCTGTTTGTGACTAAAGAAATCAGGTATAAACTGATGGGAGACAAAAGAAAATCACATGTGCAAGACGGCTTCAAAAGACAAATGCAGATACTCATTTCTTAAAGCATAATTAGAAAGGACTGCGAAAGGCAGTTTGGCATTGCTTAAATTCGGCACCATGCCTTTAACAGGAGAGAAGCAGAGTAATTCACTTTAGCGAGGCTTATGTTTATGGAAAACACATGGGCTTTCGAGCCACCTGGACCTGGATTTGAATCCCAGCTCTGCAGGTTTCTTGGAATGTGGTCTTGCAAATCACTTAAACTCAAAAAGCCCCAGTTTCTGCTTCTGCTAACATGGAATAATGATCCCCTTACAGGGTTACTGTGAGCATCTAACATTAGTGGTACATTCTTCATAAACTGTACCAAGTAAGAAGATCAACAACAAAAGGATTAATAAAAATAATTTTTAAAATACTGTCAAGCTCATGGTGTGATGGTTTAGGGCATCAGGCTGGAGTCAGACCACCTGTGTTTCTAGCTTGCCTTTCCTTTAGTCATAGAATTCACAGTCTGACAAAAACTGTTCTCTAGTAACATAAAATCAACAGGTGTTGACATCTTGGAATCTTCTCATAATAAAGTTAATTAATTTCTCTCTATGTTGGTTACTACTGCAGTGAAATGGACTAAACAACAGTATCTACCAAACATCCTATTGGTGAGGCTAAATGAATCAATCTATGTAAAGCTGAGAATCATGTTGACACTGGCACACCGGACAGACTCAACAACTGTTGGCAATTGCTGTTGTTTTAGTTCATGGGAAGGGCACTACAAAGCCAGAACAAATCACCTGAACAAAAGCTGGTTAAAAAAATGAAAAGAGAAGAGCATGCAAACTCCAGAGGATGGCAAGACAGCATCCCAGATTAATGGCTAGAATAATAAAATCTGAGAAGCCATCTCAGGGGTAAAAGCAAAATTGGTCTGCAGGTTACAAGGAGGTGGGACCAATTAACTAGTAATCCCAGCAGGGATCCAGTTTCTAAAGCACTTCACTGTGTGAGGAATTGTGAATGTCAATGACTTTGAATTTCAAAGCCAAATAATTTTTAAATGAAAATGATGAAGAAGCATAAGGCAACAGGAATATATTTTGCCTTTCTCTTTTTTTCCAAAACATGTTCTTCCCCCAGTGTCACTGCCATGCCTGGTGACCTTTCTAAATCCTTTTTTGCATAGGTCAGAAAAGCAGCACTAATCCTGTTGTATTGCTTCCCAAAATGACACTTAAAAAATAAAGAACTCAGGCACCTAGTAAATGTGATGAAGAATTGCATGTCCATTAACCATCCAAGAAAAATCTACCCAACCAGAGCACTCCACTGCAAAGATAACATAATCCTGCTGCTTTGGAGCAGCCCCGTGCAGAGGGATGCAGAATTGCCTGCAGCATCTCATGGGTGAGAGCGATGGTGGAGGAATCCAGGCGCCCCTACGAGCTGTCTGAACTCCGTGCTTCTAAAGCGCCCACTTCCTTACACATCTGCACGTAGGGGCCAACAGCCTCACCGAAGTCCTTCCGGCCTTCAGGGAAAGCAAGCATGGCTGAACCTGAAACAACCCGTTTCATGGTATGGGGCGAGAAAGAAGGAGAAGCGTGTTTTTTTCAACAGTTTTGAGTGGTTGCAGCTCACCCCTCAAGAACAGTAACTTCAGCAGCCACTTCATTATATTTCTACTGTAAATGATACAGGCCTGGGCCAAGTCAGCACCAAAACTCCCTTCAGAATTCATGGGTTAGGTCATCTGTACTCGATTGACAACTGCTGGACTCCAAGCCCCTAATGAGGCATCTCGGCAACAGCATGTGTCCTGCCACTAATGAGGCTTTTTTTTCCATGAATAATGAACAAGAACATCATCTCTGTTGCCAGGTATACAACATAAACAAAACTCAACACAAGGGCCTTGGTATGGCGATTTCGTCCATTTGCAACAAAGGAATTTTTCAAAGTGTGAGCCAAGTTTTAGTAGAGGGTGGGACAGCTGTTGTAACAAATAATGGGAACATATGTTATCAGAATCTAATAAATCAGTGTTCAGTTGCTGTGGAAATGAGACTATGCAATGGGATATATGGAGACAGTGAAAAGCTCCAAATGAGTTCATTTCTTTATTTTACCATCAGTCTTATAACACAAGGCTGATGATTTCTGTAATGAACTGAGATCTTCATGAAAGGAGCCTTATGAGATTTGTGATCCCAAAGGCTCCACTCATTAAATCTTTATTTTCTTAAGTCTTGATAGAGTTTGTTCAGTACAGGTCAGCACTGCGAATGTGAACACTGGAACTCCGCAACACCTTGGTGGCCACTGGTGGCAAATGGAAATGTGTCCTGCCACCTGAAGCTATGGGCACGGAGCTGGATTCCCTTGGTTCCAGAACTTCAATGTACGAGTATTTTGTCTGCAGGGCAGCCTCAAAGCTTAGAGCTTCATTCTGGGAACAAGTGTTCAGATGAACGGTGAGATCCCAGCACATAAACAGAGAATAAAAGTGAGCTGACATGAAAGCCAAACAAGTCCTTATTTTGTTGACTTTAAAATGCCCTATACAAATACTTTTTTCTCTTTCTAAAATCAGTTCCAGATTAGGTGGCATATATCTTATTTCAAAGCACGGGTGTGTCTGCACAGGCAAGATGATGTTATCATGGTCTGACAGCATTTTCATGAATTTCAGCAAGAATTTGAAGAAAACAAAACAAAAACAAAGTCTCGTGATGCTTCAGTTTCCCCAGCTGCAGATGATAACATTAGCCCACTTCAGAGACTTGTTATGCCAAAAGTGAGACCCAAATTGTTTTGCTGCATGTTTGAAAAATGCAGCAAATCTGAAAATCTGTTATTCTGAAAACTCTTTAAATGCCATTAAAATTAAAATGTTATAAAGCAAAAAAATATTATATAAGAAACACTCCCTGATATCAATTTTATGAATACATTTCTTCTAGTGACAGCTACTGAAATAAAGCAGAATATTATAACGTTCTACAGACAGTGTTGCAGCCATACCACAATGGGTAATAAATAACGCAGACAAGTTCTGTACAATTAACCAAATAGTGAATTCACAGATAATGCCATTATGAGAACAGTCTTTACATCTCCAGGATGTATCAATTTACTTTTCTGGCTTGTCAAGAACAGGTAACATGGGATTGATTAATCATTGAGTAAACCAAAATAGTGAAAGCATTTCAAGGGTTTCCATGTGCAGAAATGGAGATTGCCTGCTGGTGAGGAAGACTTGAGAGGACTCAGTGTTTCCCACTGAGCTCTCACGTGTGTCAAAGCTATTATACGGCCCCAAAGAACCGCTAAGTCTGTAGGGTCTCCATGCAGTGCCACAGCAGGAGCTCTGACCCTCAGTGCAGTCCCAACAGGGCATGCGCAACCTGCTGAGGTTCTCATGTGGTTCTTCACCATGGAGGGAAGAAAGCAGCATTTATGTAATTGCCAGATGGGGAGTCTGTAGGAGGCAGGAGGGAAAAGGGCACTGAAACTCTAAGACCACTCAAACTAAGTGAAAATCTATACGCCAGAAGTGATCAAGGCACCACACTATCTGAATTCTCCCTCTAATCTGATCACTGGATTAGAGCAAGGAGAAGGGAATACTCAAGTATAAAAACACTACGCAAGGACTTACCATCATACTTTGCCAAAACTGCCTGGACATCAGCATATGCTTGCAGTTCCAGAAGTGCTTCTAAAAGGTTTTCGTGGATATTGAACATGCTTAGCAAAGGGAACTCCTTCATTAACTAGAAAGTTTAAAAAAAAAGTTTACTTATTATTTATTATAATTACATTAAATACAAATTAATATATACATACATGTTAATATTTTTATTATGAATATTTTTAAAATAACATGACATTCTGGTACATATACACATAGTACAATGATTATGACAAGTATTTTAAGAAATATATTTTTAATTTTAAAGCATAATTGATATTAATTTATATATTTATATAATACAGACATGGTATGATTCTTAAAAGTATAATCACACTGGATTACATGTTTTCATATCAATTACTATTTTGGAAAGCATTAAATGCTCCACTTATTCCTGATATTTTTGTGGAAAAATGGAAATTCTGAATTTTTAACCTTATGAGGGAGAAAGCCCAAAAGAGAGAGCTTCTTATAAAAACTGAAGGAGGAGATGGACATTGAGACACGATGGGTTAAGCTGCTACCTCCTGTATCTGAAGCTTGGCGACTTGGCTTGTGATCCAGCTTCCTGTCAATGCTCCTGAGAAGGCACGTGTGTGATATCCCAAGTAGCGGGGTCCCTGCCGCCCGTGTGGGAGATCTGGTGGGAGTCTCTGACTCCAATCTTGGGTTTGCTCCAGCCTTAGCTAGTGTGACCATTTGGGAAGCAAACCAGTGAAAGGACGATCTCCCCCAACATCATCACTCTGCCTTGCAAATGGACAAGTAAATACATCCTTTAAAAAAACTAAAAAATATATATATCCAATAATGATGAAAACGCCAAAGAGAAATCAAAGTTAAAAAATATTTCCCAGACTTTCAGTTTTGTCTCTGGTCAGCTTATCAAGGGCAGTTTAGATGAAAGCCAGCGAGAAGGGAAAGGCAAGGGCATAAGTCAGTGTGTGCCAAAGTTAAGAAGCAGGAAAGTCTTACAAGGCAATATGGTTGAGAGACAACCTGTAGATGGGAGGCATGAGTAAGAAAAAGTCTACGGGTTCTTGCCTAGGGATGCCTCAATAAAACAGAAGTAGAGATTATATTTGGCAACGAAGGAAAGAGGTGGCAGGGAAGAAGTTTAGAGATGGGGGTGGAAGTGCACAAAGTGACAGAGTGGAGAGGCCAACTTGAGTGACTAACAGTTTGGAGACCATAAATGTATAAAGGGGTATAAGCGTCACATTAGTCAAGTTTTATCTAGCCTGAGTATGACTGCAAAATGTCAAATGATTAGATTGAACCTGGAAGACATCCATTTCAATGAAAAGTCAAGAAGCAAGAGTTGATTACAATGATGATTGGCCCGAAGACTGTAAACTGGATGCGGAGGAAGAGAGGTCCACAAGCAGGAGTCCACGTAAGTAACAATGAACTGCTGGAAAGCACAGAGAAAGTAGGAAGAACAGGAACTTCAGAGTAAAATATAATTTTACAGGAAAGTAAAAATGCCTGAGAGGATGATGAGGTTCTTTATGCAGCAAAATCATACATTGCCCTTCCTTCTCTTGTTTATAGATTCTGTATTCTATGACAGTGTAATTGACCTATTAAAATGAGATGTCAACATCTCTACAGCAATTACACTGAGAATGATAATATTCAAAAACAGACTTATTGCTAAGCAAGAAGCAAGTTGCATCAAGCTTGCACAGATAACCCATTTTTCCTTAATAGGAATATTTAGTATATTTGTTTTATTGAGCCAATAATCATCTAGCATATCTTTAGAACCAAATACTTTTTTGCTGCCCCAAATAATGTCATCAAAGAAAAGCTCCTATCAAAACGATCATATGTTCAATAAGATTGATGATCTGAATCCTCCAGGGAAGACTGCAGTATTTTCATTGTTAGTAAAGCAAGTGAATGAGACTACACCACACAGTTTTGATGTTTTGTAACCAATAAAAGTATTTCTTGCTCTGGTTCACTTTGATTCTAGCTGACATCATCCTTTCCCCCCAACTCTTTCTAATTAAAGCTTGTTAAAATTAAAGCTCTCTGTCATTCAGCATTTGGCAACACAATAAAGACATTCCCTAAACTGCAACATTTAAACATTTATCATTTTTGTCCAATTCTTCAGGTAATGATCAAACAAACTTCAAGGACACAAGTCATATTCTATAATTTTTAAAACTACAATTCCAAAATATTAGCTGTTGAAGGTTAACCACCAAGTCATATTAAAACCCACTGAGATTGTGTGCACACACATGGAGGTCTCAGCTGGTTTAAAACACAACCTGCAGTAAGACGCTGGGAGCCTGAGCAGCAGTGCTTTCATGGAGAGCCTGGACAGAGCACACTGTGTCCAAGAAAAGAATCACCAATAACAGGATCTCAAACCTGGCGAAGAGCAAATGCTGCAGAGGTAATTGAAGTCATACGGCAGCCTGGAAATCTTGCTCTCCTTACTTAATATGAACAAGAAGAGAGCCCCCTCTCCACTGACCACCCTTTCCAGGCCTTCACAACAATCTTAGCAAAGATGGACCCCAATACTGGACTGTCCCGGCTCCACTGCTTCCCCACAGCCTCACCTGTATTGGACTTGCCTTCCCGCAGTTCCCAATCTCCTCGTCCCGCAAGTACAGGCGACTTAAATGCTTCCGTGGAGACCCTACAACTCCTCCCCTCATTTTTTTTTTGTCTGATTTCTGTATCATTTGAGAGTTTGATGTCTTTTCCTTTGAAACTCACCTTTTTCAACAGCATTCTCTTCTGGTGCTCATTTCCTAGGTCCTCTGATTTCCACCTTGTCTGTTTTGTAAGTCTTCAGGATATACACCCACACTGTGTTATCATAACACCCTTATCTCTAGAACTATTTTTTTAAAAATTGTTTTGTTTTGTACAGGATCTTGGCACTACCACCTTCACTGGGATACCACCCATGTGCTAATATCCTGCTCTGACCTTTTTCCTAAGCTTTATATTGACTTATAAACTATCTTCCTGCTAGTTGTACCTCCTGCGCTTCAAGGCAATGCCTCTAACACTTAGCGGGTAGGACTGGCATTGTGGCTTAGTGTGTAAAGCCACAGCCCATGGTGGACATCGATTTGAGTCCCAGCAGTTCCACTTCCAATGCATCCCCCTGTTAATGTGTCCAGGAAAACAGCAGAAGATGGCTCACGTGTCTGGGCCCCTAAACCCAAGTGGAAGGCCTAGCAGATGCTCCTGGCTCAGCTTTGGCCTGGCTCAGCCAGGATGGAAGATCTCTCTCTTTGTAACTCTGCCTTTCAAATAAATACAAATAAATCTTTAAAAAGATTTTTAGCTGAGAATTTCGCTGAGGACAACCCTTCAAATCTGTTTTTCCCTGGTATTTCTTACCACCCTCTTCTCTAAACTACAGACATTTCTGAAGCCCCTTCCCTCTGAATTAATATGTAAAAAATGCTGATGACTTTGGCCAAGTTCACCGAAAGCTCTATTATGCAAGGCACACCTCAGGAATGACTGCCATCTCCTGCTTTCTCTGATCTTGCTGCCAAAGGTTTAGTTTATGCCTTCATACTTGGTCTAAATTACTCAGATTCATCTGCTTGACTCTGGCCCACCTTCTGTTCCAATTCACCCTTTACAGTGCTGTCACAAAGGCCGCTTAGCTATGTACACTGAGTCCATCGTGCAACTACTAACACAGCTAGACCTTCCCCAGGGAGAGTCACACGTGACCACAAATTGACAACAAAGCTACTTATCACATCACTTGGAATAGTGTTCATAACATTTGCAAGGAACTTCAAAAATTTAACCCATTATCAGACATGTAAGTTTAATAAAATACAGTAAGTTTCTGGCTATTATATATAGTTATAGCAAGCTACATTCTCAAAAAAATTTTTCAATGATATGTCCTGGAAAATGCTGGCATGCATTGTCAGAGAAACCAGGATACAGGGGTTGACAGCTTGTGACTCAGCATTCCATATCAGAGTGCTGGTTCTAGTCTGAGCTGCTCTGTTCCAAATTCTAGTTTTCTGCTCATGTACCTAGAAAGGGAGTGGAAGATGGCCCAGTCACCTGGGCCTCTACCACCTTTGCAGGAGACCAGAGACCAGGATCAAGTTACTGCCTCCAGGATTTGGCCTGGCTCAGTTCCTGCCTCCTGAGTTGACCTGGTAGAGAACTGGCTATTTAGGGAGTGAACCAGCAGATATTCTCTCTCTCTCTCTCCTCTCTTCTCTGTCTCTCTCACCCCCTCCCTCTGTAGCTCTGCCTTTCTCATAATTAAATTGTTTTAAAAAGGAGAGAGCCCAGTGCAGTAGTCCAGTGTACACACCAGAATCCCATATGTGTGCCAGTTGGTGTCCCGGTGGCCCCAATTCCCATCCAGCTCCCTGCTTGTGCCCTTGGAAAGCAGTGGAAGATGGCCCAACGCCTTGGGCCCCTATACCCATGTGCTCTGACCATTGCGGCCACTTGGGGAGTGAATCAGTGGATGAAGATCTTCCTCTCTGTCTCTGCTTCTCTCTGTGTATCTGACTTTCCAATAAGAATAAATTAATCTTAAATAAAACAAAAATAGTAGAGACTCATGCATATTTTACAATAAATCCATGCTTTTCATAAAAAAACATATGTACAGAAACATACGTGGTTATAGAAACATGCTCATACTAAAATGAGTGCTGGTTATTTCTGATGAGAATAAGGCAACTTTTATTTCTCCATATTTTCTATATGTTCTAATATTATTTAAAGAGATAGACACACATTTGATACACTGGGAGTGGTGAGGAATGCTTCCGAGAGTACTAGCTTCTCCTCAAATTGAAGATATAACCTAAAATCCATGGCACACCAAGCAGCCAGTGTCCACAGCATCAGCCTTCCCTGTAGCCATTTCTCACACACCGTGCTCTAGCCACATACTTACTCTTAATGCTGTGAATAGGAATAGATCCACTTGGGTTTCTGTCTCTCAGCTCTCCCTCACTCTGGTGGACTCCCCCTTGTCAATTTCTCAACTTACAGGAATCTTTAACCATTTCTACCTCTTAACTTCCACTGCAGCTTAGTCACTCCCAA